TTGGAGTTGGATATTGCAGAGGACGTCGAAATGAAATTGTCATATGACCCTGCTTGGCTAGCGATTTTGAAGAGCACGGACGGTTTCACTAGCATATCCCGATCGGTAAGATGATTTCGTACTTGCGATCACTTCAAGCCCACAATCTGTTCTCTTCTCGCTCGTAGTGCTTGAAAAATATCAGTGGAAAGTGCGACTGAGTGCTCCATGCTTTCGAGGTGGTAGTGTCTGGAAAGGGTACTTGATTGCCCGCTCCTATTGCTCAGTTTTGGAGTATCTATTGAAATAGGCTCATCGATAGCAACTGACCTCCATTACAGAATACGTTCTTACCTTCGGCACACTGCGAAGAGCGGTCAGATTTCCGGCCAACGGAAAATGAGCTCGCGGCCATCGCGGAGCTGGGTGATTTGACGATCCCTGAAAACTTTCGGTGCACCGCACCGCCGCTAAAAGAGGATACTCCAAAGGCAAGACTTGCTCAATCGTCTCCCTATTACAGGTGAGATATAAAAATAATGGCGTAGTGGCTTATGAAATGCTACCGTATCTTCATTTTTTGTTCAGGAACCCACAAACGGCCGAGTTCTGTTCGTGGTTGGGAATATCTGACCTCAATAAAATGTTGGCGGAAAGAGATTCAGAAAGCGTCGCTATTGCTCATTATATGATGGATGAGAGTTGTGCTGACACGAGTGAGATCACGATTGACGATGATGATGTGAGTTTTTTTTTTGCTCTGTTTTGTTCACTGAGGTCCCATTTCATAAAAGAAGGTCAGCAGGCCAGTCCTAAAATCGAAATGAGATGTGTTTCGCCGCACCCACCCAGAAACGCTGAGCTCAGGGTCAGAGCTTACAAATTTAGTAAGCAATCCCCTGAACGTGGTAATCAAAGTCTTTTGCTCGTACATGTTGCATGCAGTCTTTATCGGAATCGGACTTTCTGTCCGCGAACTCGTCACACAGGCTTTGTAGGCAAACTTCAATTGAAGTGACGTCAAAAGTTTTCCTAGATAGTTATGTTTAGAAAAATCTCTTGATAAGAGCGAAAGAGCGAAATCCTCAAGGAGTTGATCAAAGGAACTTCCGCGTCATGGATACGCACGCTGCTGCACTTTTCCACATTGTAGTTCCTTTTCAGAGAATTGTTCAGCAAGTACGAAAACGACTCTGAGCTAGCGTGTCAAGACGAATGGAACAATTCACATGAGCCTCATTTCAATTGGCCGAGTTGACCTGCTGACCTTCCTTTTTATGTATTGAATAGCTGGTTCTATTATGCCACCGTTTTTGCTTGTAGTCACTTTCATTGTCTTTCTTTATATGCTTCATCTCTTTGAAAAAGCGGGGGCATGGTGGGATTCAGATGTGATTATAAAGCTGAATTAATAGTTTCGCTCTTTTTTCATCCAAGTGTTGCTGGTACTCTGGAAGGTTACCATGAGTTTGCTTTCGAGCTTTTAGATTTTCGCTGACGGCGAGGACTTCGCTATTGATACGAGACCTCTACCTGGTAGCCTTGACGATTTTTGCTCACCTAACGTCACTTCGAACAGTGACGAAGGTGCCAATATCGATGAGCTGCTCGATTTTACACCTCCTAAGATAATTAAGAAGAGTTCCACACCTCATGATGACGGTGGTATTGTTTTGAAACGTCGGAAAGTTGATCTTTCGGAGGAGGATTAAGTGCATTTCAGTTTCATAATTCCGAATAATATTTATTGTTTGCATAGAGTTTGTAACATTGAGCCCGTTTTACATGTTCTTGGGATCTCGTATGATATAATTCTATTATCTGGATATCTCATCAGAGCCTAGTCTTAAAGACACATTTCACATTTTGCGAACGCACGGAAGCAGTTGCTGATGTGAGCCCTTCTCTTTGATGAGCTTCTTCTTTCAAGATGGCGAGAAGGGGGTCCTACTAATGAAAATGATGCATTGCACCAACTGACTTCGTCCATACTGTCAATGTGGAATGTGCCTTTAACTATCGGTTAAGAGTGTTTCAGGGATAGTGCTGTAGTTTGTCTTAGCGATGAAAGATCTTATACTGCCTCCTTTCTCACGTTTGTAAAGATTCGATCTTGATTATTATCCAGAATAAATCTGTAAATGTGTTTAGAACTTCGTCGTACGCTCAGGCTGACTGTCAAAAGCCTCTGTGTAATCCGTAAAAGTTGAGCTCTGAACCGTTAAGAGAGCGACACACGCTCTCATAGCGGTCCATAGGCCAGCCCACTTGGGGAGGGTTTACATCTCGTTGCCTCCTTTACATACTGAGCACACTTGGTGCTGCAGTGGCACCTGGCGTGCAGTGGAGGGATTAGCGGATAAGGAAAACCAACCGCCAAGAGACCTAAGGTTAAAGCAAGGGTTGGAATGTCATTCTAGCGTCGTCATGGTTGTGAGAATGCATTCTCCTACACAAAACATCTGTTTTGTTTATGCACAACTCCTCCATGAGATCGGGTGTCACAAGCAGGGTCAACAGTCCGTTGGACAAAGTCCAACGCGGAGTGGGGAAGGGTCGTTTGGGGTGGAAAAGG